CCCCCCCCCCCCCCCCCCCCCCCCACCCCCGCCTCATCCTTATACGTTCGCAGCCACCGCTGTGGGAGTTGAATGGAGTCTGTCCAAACCCTGTGGGCCTACATTTGTGTTTCAGACCAGTTGACGTTCGGCCCACTTTAACACACGCGCACAAACAAGCTGCTGGTCTTTAAAGAGCAGAGGCAGGAGGACCAGCTGAGGCTCTGGAGGGGGGAGGTGATGGTGTGGAGGGCGGGGGGGGGTCAGGTGGACGAATCATGAGCGACAAAGCGAGAAATTAATTCATGGAAAGATTCCGATCTGAGGCAAAGGAGAGGGAAGTGTGGATGGAGAGATTAAGGAAAGAGTCGGGGGGGGGGGGGTTTCCCCATCCAGGCGCACACACTCGTACACTCGTTCTAAATCATATACAAACACTGCAGTTCATACACACAAAGATGAAGAGAGGAGAGCAGTTGACTGGATAACCTAAATTCACCTGGATTTATTATTCATTACTGGGTAGATGTGCGCACACACACACACACACACACACAAACAACAAACACCATATACACAAATGCTGACCAGACTGCTGCCTCGAGCGTAGAATGAGGGTCAACAGCTGTAGGGGAGATTCAATCCGTGTGCACGTGTGTGCATGCACGGATGATGGAGCTGATGTCCTTCACATCAGGCCTCATGAATATGTAATGCTAATGTCATTTTTATGGAGTCTGCGTAAATAAATGACACTATATTCTAATAACGACCTGATGTCCTATTCATTAAGGATTCTGATTAGCTTCAAACCTAATTAACTTTCTTATTTATATTTCTCTCTCAGTGGGGTTGAAATCATTTGAGCTCCGTTAGGATTTTTTTTTACTTTTGGGTAGCACTATGGAGATGTAGGTTGTAGTTGATGATGAAGGTTTGAAGATAATTAAAGTAAAACTTTAGTTCAATTATCTTTTTAGGTACTGAGATAACGATCTATCTTTCTGCCTATCCATCCATCATCCATCCATCCCTCCATCCACCCATCATCCATCCACCCATCCATCTCTCTATCCATCTATCCTTCTATCCATCCATCCCTCATCCATCCATCCCTCCCTCCATCCATCCACCCAGCCATTCAACTATCTACCCATCTATCCGTCCATCCATACATCCATCCATCTATCTATCATCCATCCATCTATCGATCCATCCTTCCACCCATCCACCATCCATCCATCCCTCATCCATCCATCCATTTGTCCATCCATCCATCAATCCATCCATCTATCGATCCATCCTTCCACCCATCCACCATCCATCCATCCATCCACCTATCCATCCATCCATCACCCATCCATCCATCATCCATCCATCATCCATCCATGCATCATCCATCCATCCATCTAGCCATTCAACTATCTATCCATCCACCCATCCACCCATCATCCATCCATCCATCAATCCATCCACCCATCATCCATCCATCTATCTGTCTCTCCCTCTATCTATCCCTCCATCCACCCATCATCCATCCATGCATCATCCATCCATCATCCATCCATCATCCACCCCTCCATCCCTCTATCTATCCCTCCATCCACCCATCCACCCAGCCATTCAACTATCATCCATTTATCCGTCCATCCATCCATCCACCTATCCATCCATCCAGCCATTCAACTATCATCCATTTATCCGTCCATCCATCCATCCATCTATCTATCATCCATCCATCTATCCATCCATCCATCCATCCATCCATCTATCCATCTATCCATCTATCCATCCATCTATCTATCTATCCATCTATCCATCCATCTATCTATCTATCCATCTATCCATCCATCTATCTATCTATCCATCCATCCATCCATCCATCCAGCCATTCAACTATCTATTATAGGATTCTATGTTTGGTTTTACAGATGAAGAGATTTTTTTAATCTCCCCGAAGGTCGAGTACTTTATTTATTTATTTTATATTTAAAACATTATCTTATTTCTATAACTCTTTCATCTTGCTTCCTGAAAAAGTATTGATACATTTCCCCTGGATTTTAACCAGTCCCATCACAGGAAGTGATGTCACCAGCTCATGTAATTGAAACTTGTTTTTGTGATGAAGTCCGGCCTCTTTCCAGTCTCATCCTCTCTGTCTGCGGTCTGCGCTAATTGGGCTTTCGTGTCCTGAGATAACTAGGCTGCAGGGATCTCCCGTGAACAAGGAGGGATAGAAAAAGTCCACGGAGGCGAGAAGGTTTCTGACCCCGGAACAAAGCTCCCTCCCTGACAGAGCTCCCACAATCCTGCTGTGGTTTTCCCTCCTCTTTGCCAGTTTCCTTTTTGTGAACACCAGGTCTTTAACTGGCCTCCTCTTATCAGCTGCGAACATTAAAGCAGAGCTGGAATACGAGTCGAGCACAAAGAGCCATTCATGGAGAAACACAGATTAGTGAATGTTCTTCTCAAGGGTTTTGATGATTTTTAAAAGCAAACTCAAAGTAACACTGGCTTTGGTCCAAAGTAAAAATATTTCCATTTTAGTAGGAGGAAAAAAAAAACTGTATGTTCTTCAAAGATTCTTCATAAACCATTGACCTCTGACCTTTGATTTCTTCAAATGAAACAATTTTCCAGACAACAATAACAGACATTATGAAAGCTCTAGAGCAAATGACTGGTATGCTCATAGTCAGTTCAGGATAAACGGTACCAAGCAACACCAGTACCAAGGCACCACAACATTACTGACATCTCCAGTGTCCAAAGTCTTCTGTCAGACACTGTTAGCTCCATCCCAGGGGTCCATGGGTTAAAACACATACGTCCTCGTAGTATTTGTAGTTCTTGGTACTAGTAAATTTGGTAGAAAGGTTG